GATCATCTTCTTTCCGGCGCACCAAACACGTCTAGGGTCTAAATTGATTGGGATTGATGAGTATGGGGTATAGATTTCAGGGATTTAGATGTGAGGGTTTGTTTAAGTCGTGCTCTACAAACTCAAGGTTTAAAACAAACTTCACCCGTGTGCATGATGTACATCAGGTTTCACTATTATTTTCTTCTCTATTTCTAAAGGAGAGTTTATGCTCTAGGCTGGCCGTTTTGGCTCTGGGGTATATGCTCTTGGATGAACAATACATTTAAACCAAAGAGAAAATAAAAAAAATCTGTTTTTTTTTGTGTGTAGACGATTTTGTTAGTGTAACAAGTGTGCTTGATAATATTCGTGTGAAGCAGTGGTTTGTCAGTGAATAAAATAAAATTAAGTGTAACATTTGACGCTTGACTTGTTTTTTTTTTTTGCACAGGTCAAAATGCTTAGCATGGCCCCTAAAAATTTGCAGGTCGTTATTGAGTGTGACAATGAACCTATCTATTTTTTTGGCATTTGCAAAAAAAACATTATTGGCGCACAGGGGCTATGCTGCCAATAGCTGAATTGTAATATGTTCCTTTTATCTAAGCTAATTTGGTGTTTTTTTCATGTCGTATTGGAAACCATGTTCTTCATTACCTCTGTGAAATCTTAGCAAAAACCATGTCCTGCATTAATTGAATCAAATAAATATATTTTTTTATCAAAATTTCAACTAAATCAAAAGTTTCCTTGACTTACTCTACCCATATGCAGATCAAATAAAAATCTTCCCGAAACCTCCACTAAATCAAAATTTCATTGGCTTCCTGTACTCATACTCAAATAAAATCAAATCTTACAAAAATCTGGAATATGGTGGGTGTGACGTATATGTCGGACACAATTGGTGTTGAACCACTAGAATATGTATGTCCTCATTGCAACACATGATCAATTAGCTAGTGATGGTAAACGTGGAGTTCCTCGCTATTGATTATTTTCTCCTTACCATGGGTACAATTTTATTTAGAAAATAAAAGTGGGTTCTCTCAAGGTTATCACGGTTTGTTTGCCAGCTTATTTGACATGTTCCTCCTGAGCCAGGCCCATTGCAAGGAAAGGAAAAGCTAAATTTTCTTTAGGGTAACTTCATCTTTTCAGCTCGGCTCCCGAAAAATAGAAAACAGAGGGAAAGCCCCACATTAGTAACCAGTAATTGGACAAACACCTAAATTGGTCTGGTCCTAGGTTAGCGTACCCTATGCGACCATAAGAATAGGATTGCTAAATCCTATTGATTTACACTGTGAGATCACCAATACACCAAGTATCATAAATTTCACATAAACTAAGCATGTAAAGTTGCTCGCATTCTACTTGTTTACTTCAGCTCCAAAGGGCTTCTCGTCTACTTCAGTCTTGAAGGGCTTCCTGAATATCAAAGTAATAATAGAAATGGAAGTTAAATGTGCCTATTTTGATATGTGAGTTGTAATAGGTAATATTTACCTAAAATCAGTCTTAAGTTGCAAGCAAAGCAACAATTGTTCGTACTTGAAAATAGCAATGCTCAAATTCTTAAGTATTCTAGGCGGTTTGAGGAGCAAAACCGATTCATATGTTTTCTGAGTAGTAAAATTACCGACTGCAACCATCTCCAGTATTACATATTAACATTGCTGGACTGCAGACATAATGTGAAAATGCATCCAAAGACTGAATGTGACAACATCTCCAAAGTTAATTTTTGTATCAAGGAATCTTACACTCATATTCTTGAGAGACATGGAATCTTATTCTTATGAAGCTAGAATCTTATTGTGTATTACCACATATTCAATTTTTCATTACGGAAATGCTAAAACATTAGATCCAACATCTCGTGGAAAAACAAATAGAAATGTAAATTGCATCTCGATCCTTGGGGATTCCTCCTTCTTCTCCGACTGGCACCGATGACATGCTGATTGTTGTCATGGTTTGAGGTATGCACCATCGTCAGAACGATTCCTATCCACACATGCAATTGGGAAGTGAACTATGACATGAAACAATGTCAACATCGATCTAGAAGAACGAATGACTCAGTGAATAAGACACCGCTATATCAGATGATAACAGCCGCCGCAAAACTCCATAGATCCTAATATAAAAATTAGGAGACACAAGCCCCCACAAAATCACTAAAATGGTCGACAACTGACCGGGTAGGAGGTGGACACGAAGAACCAAAAGGGAAGCCTATTGTCACCACCTCCTCAATGCAACGATACCGACGACCAACTCTAAACTCAACGATGCAACGAATCATCAAGGACACGAGGTTGCCATCTCACTCACGTTGTCTAGAGGAGCGTCGTATGGTAGGGAGGGATCTACAACACATAATCTCCATGGCGTGGTCTTTGCCACCATAGGACTGCCAATTAAATCCCTAAATTACTTCATACACACTAGAAACAACAAATCCAGGGATCCCCCATCTTTTTGCCTTCAAAGAGGGAGGGAACACATAGTCTGGCTTGCAGCCAGGCGAGCAAAGTCAGCCGCCACCAATTCTCTTAAGTGCATCCGTATTTTCCTCTGCTTCGGGAGCTATCGCGATCGACGTGGGTGTAATTACAATTTCACCCTTTTTCCATTTATGGTGTTTCAGTCCCTTTATGGAAAGTTTCAGTCACTTTCTCGTATCACTTGTTTTTATGTTGTTTTATATTCATTACAAATGCATATTTTTGGTGCAATTACATTTTCACACTTTTCCATTTATTTTTGTTGTTTGCGTGAGATGTATGAATTCCCAATTTGCACCAGCTGATTTCGTCGAAGAAGGAAGAAGAAAGAGAGGTGCTGCATCAAGGTCGATACATGGACGACATGGCTGGCTGCAGCGTCCCTGGCAAGGCTGATCCAAGATAGTCTCGAATACGGGGACAACCCGACATCCTTGGCGAAGGCGGGGCAATAGGTTGACAATACATGTGAGGGGTGCGGCGCGCACTCGGAGGTGGAAAGGGAGTTGCACCGAAGATGGTGAGAGGGTTTGTAGATTTTAGAGGGATGGTTGGGGACATCAACAACATGAAATATGCGACAACTCGGGTGGGGTGGGGTTGTGCGTGGCAGTGCTAACCAAACACGAGTAGTGTAGGCAGGTGGTTTAGCCCATGTTGATTGTGAGATTGATGGGGTAGAAAGCTTAGAGGCGTGCATGGTAGAAAAAAATATGCAACTTATATATCTCTCGTTGGATTAACAAGCCAGAGGCAAGGAGGTGAGGGTTCATCCTTATTCTTCCCTTTTTGATTGGAGAGCTCGGGAGCAACCTCTTCCATAGTGTTCATCTTATCAGATAAAGTGAGGGTTCACTCTATTAGGAATAAATTAGTTTGTGACTGTTGATGCATTAGCATGCTATAATTAAACAAATATTCATTTGGAACATGGAACCGTCATTAGTGAAGGGTTGTGATGGTTGGCCATGTCGAATCCTAATAGTGACGTCGGTTTAGAACATAACTCTCCCAATGCAGATTTCTTAGGAATGTTTTATAGGTATTTTGCTGATGTGCCTTAGTATTTAATGAAAAGATAGGGATGTAGTAGCTTAGAGGGATGGCCCTAGTAGCTAACATACAACCCTTGCATGTAGCCATGGGCAAATAAATTTACTAACTCAATCACATGTAATATCATAGCTGGTATCATGCATGCCAACTAGATAATTTTGATGAGGTGTCATAGAATTAAACAAAAAAAAGAGGGTTCAGTATCATATAAAGATACTGTATCATAATAAATCCTATACTACTATGTGTCATGCATGGTAATAAATAAAGTACCACGTGATACTAATATATGATACTATGCATTAGGGAGGTAGTATCATACACTAGTATCATATGCATGAGACCCAAATACAACCCCTAAATTGACCGGCTAGTTGTCTCTTAAACTTTTATATTTTCTATGATATAACATGCTAAAAAACGATGCATTGGGGGAGGCCCCTTCTCATCCATCATAGCAGCTGACATCTTTTGAAGGCTCTCCTTGAGAGCAAATATAATAAGTGATGTAAGCGAGATGTAAGACTTTCAATATAATATTTTTAATGAGTTGAAAGAGAGAGAAGATAAAAGAGAATAGAAGCAGGCTATAGATTAATAACCAGTTGCAGCATGTGCCCTAGTGGCTTTGTGAGAGAGTGAGGTGACTCATGTATCAACAAAGTAATACTCCCTCCTTCTAGGAATACTTGTCGGAGAAACGGATAAAAATGGATGTATGTAGAACTAAAATACGTCTAAATACATTCATTTTCCGACAAATATTTTCAGATGAAGGGAGTACATATCTATATCTAATTATTATATTTGCTGACTATAAACTTAAATATAAATGACATGGCAACATTATATAGCTATTAACCATGCTCCCGACCATGTATCGGTGATGTCATTATTGTTCATTCAATCACTTTCCAATTAATACTTTCTACAGATGGGATATAAATATGGCTAAACTTACCCTTGATTAATCGACGGACGGTATCAAATATCTTCTGCTATCATAAGTTGAAGCATCTTAAAAGAGCTCCTGACAAAACCTTGGTTGTACGTAACCTTCAAACGTGGACAGTAGGATTTGTTTCTTCGATCCGCTCCAAACAGGTCATGTAGGTATACGTGCCTTCGTACGAGACGCTGGTGGGGTAAGCAGCTACCCATTTCTTTTCTTTTATTGGTATAGGAAATTCGACCGTACATTACCACATAAACCTTGTCGACAACTCTCCGCGCACTGCTCCACCACAGAACCTTGTCGACCGTCGATTGTCGCCATGCGCCGGAGCGATCGGCCCCCGACGTGTCACCCCCCAGCTCACCCTTCGCCCCTCCGCGTCCGGCCTATAAAAACGACGATGCACCTCTCGTCCTCCCATTGCATTGCAAGTGAAGCTCACACAACCTACCCTACCCTACCCACCCATCCATCAGCAGTTTTTCTATCGACCAATGGCTTCTTCTTCCGTGCTTCTCGGAGCCTCGGCCACGGCCGCGCTCACCGGCACCCCGGCAGGCAAGGCCCTTCCCCGGCCTTGCTTCCTCGCCGCTCGCCCGCGCACCGTGAGCGGCGGCCGCCTCTGCCTGCAGAACGCTCCAAGGGCGACTCCGGTACGTGTGCCGCGAGCAGTACCGTTCGATCATGGCCTCATGCCGATTATTTTTACGTACGCTGCTGGTTAGTCGTCCTCTGAGATATGCTGACCGAGATATATGGGTGCATGGGACAGGCGTACAACGACGCTGCGGATGCTACCGACAAGGCCATCGACGGCGTGAAGGGGGTGGCCGACGAGTTGAAGAAGGGCGTGGCGGAGGCGGCTGAGGCCGTCTCGGGCAACACCGAGAAGGCCGCGGAGGAAGCCGGCAAAGGCGCGAGCGAGGTGGACGAGAAGGCCAAGGACTTCGGCGAGCAGGCGAAGAAGGCGACGGAGGAGGCGTGGGACGGCGCCAAGGACGCCGCACAGGGCATCACGGACAAGGTCGCGGACGCGGCCAAAAAGGAAGCTAACTAAGCTAACAATGCGTTGACTAGTCCGATATGTATCTCTCAATTCATTTTCCATTGTAAGAAGGGTTGTAAGAATGCATATACGTACTTTGGTACAAGAAGAGATAAAATAGCTGCATTTATTTTCTGACATACAGGATTACCGCCCTGTTAATGTCAAACGCAATAAAGAAAATGATGCTAAAAGGTTTACATAATAGCTATGCGTGAGTTGCTTGAATTTCGAATTCGAGTCGGTCGATTCGTGGAAGAAGGAAGGAGGAGACGAGGTGTAGCACCAAGGCAAAAGACGACGGAGCCGGGGCGAGTGGAGCGAAGCCCGGGGGCGCGGGCAAGGCCTTGGCCGGGAACGAGCCGTAGACGGAGATGGCATGCCTTGCCGCAACGTCTCAGGAGAAGGTGAGTCAGTGGTTGACGGTTCGGGTGTGGGACCGGGAAGGCTCGCCCGCGAAATGCACCTGTTACACTTCATTTTACCTTGTAAGAATGCATATATGTATTGTTGAAAGATTTTACGTCGATCCTAACAGCGGTAGAGGGGAGTACGTGAAATTTGTACTCGATGAAACGTCACGTGAGGAAACTAGGAAACTAGGGGACTTAGGCACAGAACGCTAGGGCACACGATATATTCAGGTTCAGGCTCCTAATGTGTGTAAGAGCCCTACTTCCCACCTTACTATTTCCTTGTGGAGAACAGAGAACTACAATGTCGAGGGAGGGACTCGGCGAGTTCTTGCGGGCGTGGAGATTTGGGTGTTTTAGGATCAATTGTGTATGTCTAAAGGGGGAATCTCCTGGCAATTTTAAGCTTTTCTATGGTAGAATATGGAGCACCCTACACATACAAGTCTACGGGAGTATAGGTAGGGGAAAGTAAAGAGTAGAGTTAGAGAGGAGTATAGGTAGTGGAAAGTAAAGATTTCACAGAAGTAAAGTAAGAGTAGATTTAGAGTGATGCAATCACTTGGGTGCTCCATGGAGATTTCCATGTGGTTTAGATAGTTGGTGCTATCCTACTCCACATTGATGGTGGCGACGGCGTGGCCTGGGTGGCTTGGACTCACCAGAATTTGGTAGGTGGTGGCTCTGGCAGAGACAGAGGGGATGGGGTCGTAGTGGAGTAGCCTCACTGCAATATCCGGGGTGAAGTGGGGCAAAAGACACAGGGAAGTAGGGGCTAGTTCTTGGGCATGTTCAGGCTTGGGCGCGTAGTGGAGGTGCAAGAAGTGGAGCTCATGGACATGGACATGCACGGGTTGTGGGCGCATGTCGTGCAGGCGGGAGGTTGACAACACCTGCGTTATGATGTGTGGGGCCCACGTGGCTGTGTGTGTGTGAGAGTGAGTGAGTGAGTGAGAGAGAGAGAGAGAGAGAGCTGCGGTTCCACTAATGTTCGTCGGATGAAGATCGCGCGGTGATGTTAAAATGATGCTTACCACTTCAACGACTTAAGTTGCTGGGCAGCGCGCGCTTCTGGGCTGAGCTGGCTTGCTAGGTTGGGCTTGTTGCCGGTCTGCTATTATGTTAGGTAGGCTAGAATTTTTTTTTTTATTTCATTCTCTTCCCTTTTTGCTGTTTTCAAATTTCCCTTTGAATTTTGAATTTGGTTTAAACCCAAACTAGCTCTAAATCCAATTTGGAAAACTAATAGAGAGTCAAACCAATATTTAGGACTTATGGAAATCAATTTCTACCCAAATAAAATGTGTAGCCCTTCTTGAAATAACTTCTTAGTGATGTTTTGAATTCATTCAAAAATCAAATTCACTTAAATTATTTTGGCAGAAAATAATAGAGGCACAAAAAGTTATTTGGGACTTAATTTTTTCCAGCCAAATTAAAACATTGGAATTGCCACCCTATGTGGGGATATTAAGTTGTTACCTAAATATTTTAGGGTTCAATTTAATTCCCACTTTTAACTTTAGCATTTCAACATTATTAGGGATTAATGGAATTTATTTTCCAACCCAACATTTCAACATTTTTTGTCTTATAAATATTCCCTAAATGACAATTTAGGGTTCTTAATAACTCCAAATTTCTATTTGAGCCACATTTTCAATCAATTCAAGCACCTCCTAGTCAAAAGTAGCTAATATCAAGCAATCGCAATCAATTTTGATTTTTTTAATTCCCTCAAATTTATTTATTAACATTCCAAGTTTGGGAAAAACTTGGGATGTGACAAATCCAATTTGGAGACCTTTTCTGGGACACTGTTGGAGGGAGAATTCATCGTCTTGGCTATCTTCATCCTTATTTCCGCCACCATGTCCATGTGTGTGTAGTCCTTGGATTATGGGCCAATAATAGTGACTAGATGGCATCCTCTCTCCCTTGCTTCTAAATATAAAGATCTCGTGGGCTTGTCACTCTATGATCATACTATGTATGGATTTCTTTTGGATTGTTTTGAGTTCTTTGTTGCATGATTTATAGACATATAAGTTCTCAGATCAAAGTCTTTCATAGGCCATGTTTGGATGAATGATATCCAAGGAAAAGTTGTGTATGCTAGTTGGGTTTAATCTTGCAAGTAATCTATCCAGTGACAGAAAGGGAAAAAAATACTTGTATTGTGCTATTGCCACAAAGATATTAATATAGTTCACTAGTTTTCTCAGTGATGAACTGAAGGTAAAGAGAATATAATAATGAAATTATGTCACTTTGCTGAATGCAATATGTCATTTCTACTTAATGCCTAGAGATGCATGTCAGATAGCAGTCTAGGATGACGTATTAGCAATAGATGTAGTTAGATAACTGTCTATGGATACATGGACGTAATATTTATGCAATCATGACATATATGATCATATCATGAACACTGCAATATAATTGATAAACAACTATAATTTTTTCACCACATCTATATTATCTGGAGAGATCCCACTAGTGAAATTATGGATCCTGATATTTAATACTCATAATAAAGACCTTGATAACTAACTTTTTTTGTTATTTTATATTCTGTATGTTTATTTACACTTGATTACAATAAGTACTTACAACCGCAAAATACATTAATACTCGTAATTAGCAAAGCTAGTGAGGTTGACACAAATTACTAGAAGTGGTGGGGATAAAGTGAAGTGTTTTAATTGTCTGTAGGTACTAATCATTGGCTACAAACCAAGACTATGTGGATTGATACCTTGGTTTTCTTGCGCTTCGAGGACTAACAATCGCGTTCACTATGCACAAAGATTATCTAGCGATACCACTCACAATGGGTAAAGGTGATGTTAGTCACTACTATTTTAAAGTTGAGCCGGGAATTTTATACATATTATTGATGAAATCAAGAAAATCCAAAAATCGCATACTATGATCATACATTGTGTTCAACATTCACATGTTATGTTATAAAAAAAGTGTAGTTCAAAAGAGATCGACAATTCTGCACTGACGTGCATCTACACCTGCGCGTGAACAAGAAATTTTGAAAAATAGTAAAAAGGTAAAAAAAAACATGGAATTTTTAGGCATCTCAGATGCTCATATGCGCAAGGTGCATGCAAATTGTTGTGGTGTTTGGTCATCTGAGGATCTATTTCAGGTGTTTGAGAAACTTCTAAAAGAACATTGTTCGTCGCCAATTTTTGTTTTTTTCGTACAGGGCCCTCAAATGTTCAAACACCACAAAATTTTGTATGCTCCTAGAACACATGAACATCTTGGATGCCTAAAAAATTCATATGTTTTGATTTTTTTACTATTTTTTACACTTTATTGTTCATCGGGCGGAGATAAGCCTGGGCGCCGTTTTTAATTATCGTGTTCAAAGTCCAATCTTGGAGCATGGATGTGTTGTAAGCTAGTTGTATATCCCCGGAAGAATGGTGGTCATTTATTTATAAAAGAACCCAATAAATTAACAATTTATATTATCCAAATGCAACCAACCTATGGAAATTTAATCTACTCCGGAGCTTTAGACTTTATCTATACTTGAGATAAACAAGCATTCAATCTCTATTTAGATTGATATTTCTAAATGCGCTCTAGTGTTCCTCTATATTGATGGATATACAAGAAAATGAACACATATAAATACAAAATGATACATCGATATGGCAAAATTAATTTGCGAAGAATTATGATGTTGTCTTTTTAGTTGTGCTTATCCCTAGAAGGAATTAGGTTTAAGATATTAAGTGCATGTTTTGAAAGGGGAAATATCCCAAACTAAATAATAAGGAGAACGCACAATTCCCCTGCAATATTTTTTATCAAATATTTATTTCTATCAATAGAAAATTATGTAAGGCTAAGCATTTACCATAATATTGATGTTGCATTATGTAGTTACTTATGCTAATTATGATGGAAAAAATCAGTTGAGATTGTAAATTAAAGGTCCAAGTTATTGTAATAAAGTAAAAACTATTGAAATAAATAAGTAGGAATCTATTATTATATAATTGATCAAGACCCTGTGAATTGTTCAAAAGTGTGTGCTCAATATTGTAGTTCATTTTGTCATCTCTACATATTTGCTACTGATCCTATATATTGTGTAAGCTCTATAAACTATAAAGTAAGGTTTGTGATTATTTGTATTTATGCTACACCATTGTCCAATGGCCTCTGCAGCTCCTTGTGTAACTCTATTTTTGCATTACAACCTTGTATTACATGCCTTCTGCATCACATTGTTGCTCACTGTTAATTATATAGGGACCAAGGCTTCCATCTTGAATATTTAATGCCACATTAATCTTAGCTTAGAAACCCAAAATAGATTTAATAACTAAGAGAAAGATGATGCTGATTTGCCTCTTGTGGTATAGTTGTATTCGACAAATGATATGTATAAATTATTATAGAAGCTTTGCATCACATCTGATTTTTAGCCTTTCACCTAGAGTATTAAGTTATGTCTCAATTCATTGATTCTATTAGTGTAAACCTTTGTGTTGGCCAAACATTTATATAATTGGTCTTAAGAATTGCACATTCTCTGGCTTTTTGTGGGTGAATTTTTTCACATATTTCAAATATAATATGGATGAACCATACCGACTACACATGGGGAAAACCATGATAATTTGTGTCAACATCGTTAGGTCCCACTAGATGTGTCTCCTTCCATAAAGGCGGAAGCTAAGTAAAATAAGAGGTGGGATACTTTACCATTTGGAGTAGGATAGACATCACTGCCTCAATGATTTGGATTGACTCGTGAGAGAGCGACTAAAGCCATGTCGTTGTAAATCGTTGGCCAAGAAAGGCCCCAATGCCTCTAGCCCCGATCCATATCCCTCCATTGACCGGTCAGGGGGAGACAATAGGTCCACATGCATTCAAGCTCTCTCCCTACATCAGAACCGTAACCAACTATTGGAGCCCAGAGAGTCTGAAACAGCTATCGTTTCTCAACATACTCCCGGGTAGAGATATTCATGTCTGAATCCATGCGTGAATAGGTAGAACAATTATGAGAAGAGTAAGAATCGACAACAATGATATTGGGTCTAATTTATAATAATATATGTTGCAAAACTAAAACAATGTGGTGAAACATCAAGAGCCAAATATGATGTAGAGAGGCATTGCAACAAATAGTTCATAAAATGGAGGAAGTACTAAACTTATGACTCATTTTTTTAAACATACTACATAACTAGAACTTTAGGGGATTTTAACACATAACTAATTCTAGGAGTAATCACTAGAAAAACTTAGTCGTAAGGTTTAGCCCGTTGCCACAAAATCTAGTGCATGAGTCCCGCATGTAATAGTCTGAAGACAATGACTCGAATAGTTTTTTTGTCTCTCTAAATTTTTTTAATTTTCACTTTAAATATGGCCAAATATTTCAAAAACATACTAAATCCTTAAATATATAGCAATTTGAGCTTATATTCTTCAAGAATAGTAAGGACCCTTGATAGATTTAATAAATCTAGTCGAGTCATAGTATTTTTCACTTTTAAGTATATAGGAACTAATGTGTCCATGTTGAACATTTGATGACACATTAATATTAGCTTAAAAACCAAAATAGATTTAAGAACTAATAGAAAGATGACATTGTTTTGCCTCTTGTTGTATGTTTGTATTCATCAAATGATATGTATGAATTTTCTTTAGATGTGTTGTATCACATCTGATTTTTAGCACTATGTTTTTAGCCCTTTACCTAGAGTATTGAGCTATATGTCAATTTGTTGATTCTATTAGTGCACAACTTTTTGTTGGCCAAACATTGATATAATTGGCCTTAATAATTGAACATTTTTGTCTTTGTGTGTGAATTTTTTCACGTATTTCAATTAAAACATGGATGAACCATACTAACTACACATGAGGAAAACCATGAGAATTTACGTACAACATCGTTAGGGGACACTAGATGTTAGGGCTAAAGGTAATAAGATGTCGGATAATTTCCAATTTGGAATAGGACATACATGACCCCCTTGATGATTTGGATTGGCTCCCGAGAGAGCGACAAAAGCACTGTCGTTGTAAAACATTATCCAAGAAAGGCCTCAATGCATCTGCCCTCGATATGTCTCCCTCCATTAACCGACCAGGGAGAGCCTCTAGGTCCACGTGCATCCAAGCTCTCTCCCTACACTAGAGTTGCAACCAGTTGTTGGAGCCCAGAGAGTGTGAAACAACTAGTGGTTCTTGACACACTTCCGAGGTACTCACTCTGTGCATGACTAGTTAGAGCAATTATGAGAAGGGTAAGAATCTGCAACAATGATATTGGTCTAATTTCTATAATATATGTTGCAAAATTAAAACACAAGAAACAACTATGATGTAAAGAGTCATTATGCAACGAGTAGTTCATATAATGGAGGAAATATTAAACTTATAATTCTTTTTTCCAAACATACTACATATCTAGTACTCTAGAGGATTTTAACACATAACCAGTTCTAGGAGTAATCACTAGGAAAACAGAGTCGTCAGGTCTAGCTGGTTCACACAAAATCTAGTGCATGAGCCCCACATGTAAGTGTCAAAAGATAACAACTCAACTATATTTTTTGTCTCTCTAAAAATATTCACTTCAAATATGGCCAAAATTTTCAAAAACGTTCTAAAGCCTTAAATATCTTGACAAATGAGCTTAGTTTTTTCAAGAATACTAATGATCATTGATTGATTTACTAAATCTAGTGTGAATCACAATGTTGTTCATTGTTAAGTATAGGAACGAACACGTCTATCTCAGACATTTATTGCCACATTAATCTTAGTTCAAAATAACCAAAGTAGATTTAATAACTAAGAGAAAGACGGCGCTGCTTTGCCTCTTGTTGTATGGTTGTATTCGGCAAATAATATGTACGTATAAATTTCGTTATGCTTTGCATCACATCTGAAGTTTAGCACTATGGTTTTTATCCCTTCACCTAGAGTATTGGACTCTATGTCAATTCGTTGATTTACAACTTTTTGCTGGCTAAACATTGATATAATTGGCTTTAAGAATTGCACATTTCTGAATTTTCATGTGCAATTTTTTTTCATGTATTTCCATTAAAATATAGATGAAGCATACTTACTACACACGAGGAAAACCAAGAGAATTTACATACAACATCGTTACAGCCCACAAGATGTCTTCTTCCATCACGAAGGAAGCTAAAGGTAAAATAAGACATAAGATACTTTCCAATTGGGAATAGGACAGACATCACCCCCTCGATGCTTAGGATTGGCTCATGGAAGACAACAAAAGCCATCTCGTTGCAAAACATTGGCCAAGAAAGGCCTCAATACCTCCGGCCCCGATCCATCTCCGTCCGGTAAAAGACCAGGGAGAGTCGCTAGGTCCGCGTGCATCCAAGCTCTCCCTACACTAGAACGGTAACCAACTGTTGGAGCCCAGAGAGTGTGAAACAACTAGCGGTTCTCGACACACTCCTGGATAGAGATATTCATGTCACACTCTATATCTTACTAGTTAGAGCAATTATGAGAAGGGTAAGAATCTACAACAATGATATTGGTCTAATTTCTAGTAATATATGTTGCAAAATTGAAACAATTGGGTAAAACATCAAAAACCAAATATGATGTGAAGAGTCATTATGCAACAAATAGTTCAGATAATGGAAGAAATATTAAACTTATAACTCGTTTTTTCAAACATACCACATAATTAGAACTCTATGGGATTTTAACACATAACTAATTCTAGGAGTAACCACTAGAAAAACATAGTCGTAATGCCGCTTGACACTAAATCGTGTGCATGAGTCCCGCTTGTAAGTGTCTAAAGAGTAAAGACAACGACTCTGACTAGATATTTTTTTGTCTCTCTTAGAACTTTTAATTTTCACTTCAAATACGACAAAATAAAAATAAAAAAACATTTGAAAGCCCTAAATATCTGGATAGATGAGCTTAGATTCTTCAAGAATACTAAGGACCTTCGATTGATTTACTAAAAAAAATCCTTTTTCCAGTAAACATTGAATTTGCACCTCAAATTTGGTAGAAATTTGATAAGCATAGTCCAAACTCCTCAATGGCCAAGGAAAGAATGTAGCTAAAACTTTTCCAGAATACTAACTGGAAATATCTTGGTTTACTAGAACATTTTCATTTGACTGTTAACTTTGAATTTTCATCTCAAATTTGACCAAAACTTGAAAAAAAAAACACTGATGAGTAAGTTGGCTAAGGCAAGGCTGAAAGGGTCGTGCCCCGCCCAGCCCATGCTATTTTTTTAAGTGCATATTTCGTTTTCGGCCATGAAACACAATCCCAATAATTATTTTCTACTGTCGGCCTGTCCAGCTTTCGAGGCCAAGCTCCGCCACTGCTTGAGTGCGTATACGTACGTTAAACCTCGTTGATAACTAATGGTTTTGCTAATTCGTATTTGCAGTTTTATGCTTTCAAAATCTACAATCTGCGATCGAGTTGAGCACACCGAGACCGGCGATGAGTGATGACACCTCTGGCAAGTTAATATCTCTTGCTCGGATGTATGTGACCTTCAACTTCAACCGTGTACACCAGGATTTGGTTTTTTCGATCCGTCCCAAACAGGCCTAAAGGTACGTGAGGTCGGCAGGCATGGGCAGATTAAGATTCGTTTCTCTTTCTTCTCTCGGCAAACCCTTCACGAGCATGGCTACCGCGCGCGCCACACAAACGGTCGACAGTCACGCACGCACCGCCGCACCACACAACCCTGTCGACCACCCCGTGTCGCCATGCGCCCGCAGCGATCCCCGTGGCCCCCTCCGTCCACCCCCGGCCTACAAAACCGGCACTGCACCTCTCGTCCTCCCACCGTACTACCGCAAGTGCAAAGTAGCTCATACATCCATCTCAGCTCCTCCACCGACCACCAGACCCAGATCGATGGCTTCCTCATCCGTGCTGCTCGGAGGAGGCGCGGGCGCCGCCGCCTTCACCGGCGCCGCCGCCGGCAAGGCTCTTCCCAGGCCGTGCTTCCTCGCCGCTCGTCCCCACACCGTCAGCGGCGGCCGCCTCTGCCTGCAAACCCCTCCTAGGGCGACTCCCGTACGTGCACTTGATGTTATTACTACCACACTCTGGTGTTTGTTCTTTGCGATGTTACGTATGCTGACTGTTCATTGGTTCATTCGTGCGTCAGGCTAACGACGCCGTCGAGACCGTGAAGGGGGCGGCCGGGGAGGCCGGAGACAAGGCCTCGGAAGGGGCGGACAGCGTGTCGAAGGCGGCGGGCGACGCGGCGGGCAAGGTTCAGGAGGCGGTGGAGGGCGCGGTGGAGGGAGCCAAGGACCTCGGCGAGAAGGCCAAGCAGGCGACGGAGGAGGCGTGGGACGCCACCAAAGACGCCGCGCAGGGCGTCGCCGACGACGTCACCGCCGCGGTTGAGGATGTGAGCAAATGAGCTCAACATTTGCGTATCAGCTTTTCAGTTCGCCGATTGGATATTGAACATGCATGATGTGCATGCGAGTGTCTGTTTTGTGGATCTCATAATTAATGATGTATGCTTTGTATAAGAGCTACAACGTTGGTCAAAAGTTGTGCTAAGAGCATCTACAACTGAACATCTCATGCCCGTCGCAAATGTCCAGACGGGCTGCCAGAAAAAACGTCACTCAACACCCCATATCCGACCCAAACAACTGGATTGATAGGCACTCCTCTTACCTAGTTCATATCTAGGGCGGATATGAGGATGCCTGAACGCGCCCGTCATGCCGGACTGATCACAAGAGCCCACGCATCACACGCAGAGACCGGCGGTCTGACGAACGCTTCCTCCAGTTCTCGGTGTGGATGAATTCATGGTGCCGCGTGGCGTCGGTCCGACGGACGCCTCCTCCAGTTCTCGGTGTGAATGCATTCATGGTGCCGCGTGGCGTCGCTCCGGCATGCCGCCCGAGGGAGCAAGTCTATCTATTTAAGCCGAACAGTGGCAGTGAAACCCTAGCCTCCCCATTCCTTCCCACTCGCGCCGCAACTTCCATCCGCCCTGTAGCCGCTAGCCATGGCCCGGGAGAGGATCACCACCTATCCAATGTCGATGCCGGCACGTCGATTGTAGCTCGAGGAGGATATCCGGGCCAGGCGCGCCGCTCGTGTCACTATCGGTCTGCCTCCGAATTCGCCAGAGCCAGAGGAAAAGGAGGAGGAAGCGTGGCAGCAAAAGGAAGCGGATTAGGACCCCCACCCATGGAGGAGGAGGAGGATCTGGAAGCGGACGACGCGGCGGAGTCGGAGGAGCAGAGACCGCAGGCTTTGCCATGGAGAACGCCATGGCGGAATTCGAGGTCGCCCAGGCAGCGAAGATGGCGAAGCAGACTGCCATCCTTAAATTCATCCAAGATGAGGCCTATATGGAGTCCAACCGCCCAAGCTTGCACCGACCCTTCTAATACTCTTCCAATATGCATCATCATCATCATCCAAACATCAACCCTTTGCTCATCTTGGAAATACACCCTATGGAAAACCTCACCCACAAATCAGTACTAGGCCACTATTTACCTATGGACCTTTCATCGTCACTGATCGAATCTAATGCCTTCTTCGGAGCTTGTAGCAAGCGATATTCAGATTTCAATCTGGCGCCGTTTGTAGTCCCATGGGCACTATGGAACTTTAGAGATGGCATTGGGTTAACCATAGCATTTGGTTGAACATGAAACAAATATGTCACCTAGTCCTACAACACCTGAGAAAGTGGAAAGTGTTTTTCAAGTTGTTCGGCTTCCGCGGTGTTTGTGGCTTCAGACAAAGGTGCCCGACTTTGTCGATGCTGATGACGGCGATGCCCTTCGTGCCATTCCCTCTTTGGTGGCATCGTCCTTAAGCATTCCCACTTTTTCTACCATCTGGGGTCCATTACTCCGGGTGAAAAGCTTGACCCGGCTAGCCGGGGCAGACTATAGCAGCATCTTTGACGTCGTTCCCTCCGTTGGGATTATGACCACATGGTTGTCGCATGTTCCCATGTTAGCATTATGAGACGGGATGGTGGCTTCAGGTGCGGTCACAGATGGAGTAGCGATGCTGCGGAGTATGGTGGCTTGTCGTCCTCTAAGGTTCAAGGAGGCCCAAGACCGCTTCCCTTCGATGGTGTCCTCTCACTCTCTGGCGGCGAGGTATTGGCAGTTTACGGTGCTCCTTAGTGGTGTTAGTTCAATTGTCGCAGCCCTCCCGCCCTAGTTTGTCTGGTTTTGTGTCTGTAGCTAGGTGTAGGCGATTTTCGCCTGGTTTCACTCCAATTAACCGAGCTTTGATAGGTTTTTGGATTCGATTTTTCTTATAAACCGAATCAACTATGTAGGTTTTTGGGTTCGGTTTTTCTTATAAACTGGACCAATTATATTCTTCTTATGGAAATTCTGGAACCGTTTGCCCTCTCAAAGAGGTTCTTCGAAAAAATAAAATGCTTCAGGGATGGCTACCGCGCAGGCCCATGACTCCTTTGCCTCGGGTTGGGGCGGACCGGGAAAGTATCGGGTGCACCGGTGCTTGTGGTGCTACCGGTGCACCGGACGCCCGTAGCATGTTCAAAAATGCTTGATTTTTTTTTGAAAAGAATTTAGCGCATTCACACAACATTGGTCTATGCTGTCGCAAAAATTCAACTCAAAATTTGAAATATTTCTCAAGGTACAAAAATCACAAAATCCACACTGAATAGTACACAACAGAAGTTGGGCTTTAAATTTGGCCCATTATCACATTGATGCTAAAATTGTCATTTTTGTATCTCCTCCAATGCTTTGAATTCTGATTTGAACTCTTGCAACAACATAGACCAATGTTGTGTCAATGTGCTACATTTTTTGCAGATTTTTTGAAACATTTATTAACACGCTACGACTTCCGGTGCAGCAGTAGCACCACAAGCATCGGTGCATCAGATACTTTCCCAGGGCAGACCTATGTTGTCCCAGCGGTGACACCTGGTAGAAATTTGGTTTTCGTTATATGTAGTCTATATTTTGGGCTTGGACACCAGAAAAAGTTAATGTTGGACACCGGTTGAGAAATTGGGGCAAGGAAGAGAGACATGCAGCGAGCATGACACCTTCAGCCGAATGGCCAGGTCTTTGCCCCTACCTTCTCCCACCTTCTTGTTGCCAGCGATTCTGCTCAACACACTGATTAATGGAATAATGAAATGTTCCAAGTTAAAAAAAGGTGCCACGAAGAAAGGACAAACTACAGACGCCACAAGGATGACACCATCGCCAGTGGAAAGGACAAAACACATATTCACACACTCGTCACTAATTTAAAACACGAAAACTAAAACATACTCCCCCCGATCCACATTAATTGTCGCAGATTTAGTACAAAATTGTACCAAAATTGTGCTAAGTCTATGACAATTAATATGGATCGGAGGGAGTAAGTAATAAAATTCATTCAGTCCTTGCAGGGCTGCATTTGGGTACAGAAACTGAAGCCAGACTATAAAAACCCCAATAAGTGCAGATAAGAAAAGGTAAGGATAAAGCAACAGCACTGCTCGATGGCCGTAAAAATGTACATATGTATATGTAATATATATGACCTAATGATCCTTCTCAGCTAGCACTCTGCATTTTGCAAACAACAAAACTGGCCCCACAGAACCGAAGGAGCACACAGCAATCTGCTGCACAAGGGAAATATACAGGTTAAATACATCATCGTGTGATGTGCCTGCCTGCTGCCACAATGCCGGCTGCGTTTCGACGCGGTACAAAACTTACAGGAGACATGGGCTCCTACTGTCCTAGCCATCACCTTCTGAATAAAGCCAGGAAAGTTAAGCATTTGCCTTCCGACAATCACCATTGTTGTTCCTTTATATATGGTTAGTGTGATCTCTACTGGATAAGTAGATTGCCATGAACAAAACAACTGTGCTGAAGCAGTAGGTTCCGCGTTCAGACATAAGAGGTCAAGCGCACCTGCAGCAGGTTCGAGTGTGGGATGCTCATCGACACAATCGCCCTGCGGCAGTTGTTCCTCAGGAACGCGAAAAAATAGTTTATGATCAACTTCTTGAAGAACCACGAGTCCTTCCTGGCTTTGACAATGGGGTTGTCGATGAGATACACGGCTCCAGATTCCTTCGCCTGCTTGATGAATGCGAGCTCCAGCTCAAGGTTCTGTGTGTAATCCAACGAGGGATCTTGAGGCGTTGAGCAACTGGGTGTTTCAGGAATCGTGTCTACTGAAGGTGTAAAGTCCACCAGGAGAGGGGCATCGAGTGAGTAGAGGCTGCCGTTTGGCGCAGTGATTATCTGTCCAGGGGTTGAAGGCTCCTCATCGGAGTCGACATCATCTTCACTCTGTAGGGACAACTCTACAGCCTCCCGCTGTATGAACTTTTCAAGGCCTTCTATCAGAAGGCGCTCAAATGTGTTATGGTGCTCCTGTTTCTTGTCTTTGTATCCGTATCTGTGCATTATCAAGTTAGCATCATAAGAAAATTTTAGAGTTGATTCCATAGACTCAAGCAAGCTCTCAGAATCTCACCAACAGTTTATACTTAATGGTATGTACACCAACTTTGCATGACAATTAAAAAACAATCAATCATTGCTCATCAATGTACATGAAGATACAAGATATGGTGGCACAACAAACTATACGACTAATTCATTAAAATCACAGTACTTTTGCGTTCTACCGAAATTTGTAATTCTCCCAAGCAAAAGAAGTAATGTCAAACCCATTGGTAACAAATGTATTAGTGTAGGAATAATCATGGATCAAAGCAAATCATTTTTTTTAAACGGAGCAAGACTCTGGTAACCAGGCGCTTACCGACCAGTTATTAGACTATTCTGATTTGGCATTTCTTATTTCATTTTGGTCTATACATTTTCTGTATTATTTGCGGTTGTACGAGAGTTGAGCATAATATGGAACCTACCATTTCGAGCTAGTAGGACCACTAACTGGCTGTGTGATATTTTCAGTAGTAATGGGCGAAAATGGCACGAATGGAGAAAATCGCATTCATACCCTGCATTTGGTAGTGCTAAAACCTATTACCAGTATT